AACTTTTTATATTGCTATCTGACCAATAAAATTACTTTATATGTAAATGACCCAAATGACCTAATGACCAAATGACCTGGGTCATTTAACCAAATGACTGGGTCATCTAAATTTTGAGCAAATGACCAGGTCATTTACCATCCCTGTAATAAACAGGGCATTTATTTTAATATAAGTTAACTAGCGTTAGATTTAGGTAACATAATTACTAATCGTGTATTTTTCTTTCTGCCAGGTTCTAAAGTCTAACGAATATGAGATATAAAAGCAAGTAATTTTTTGTCTCTTGTAGGTTGGGTTATAATATTTTTTGTTCATACATAATTTTGTCGTCGGTAATTCATTTTTAAAGTAATTTTCTATGTTCTATTTAATACAGTCTTTGAAAACGAATTTCTACTTACTATATATATTTTTTTATTTAGAAACGTGAAATGTCCATTAACGATAATACAACTCCCACGACTAATGACACCACCATCACCATGACCCTATAACACTCCCACGACTAATAACCCAACGCCATCTAAACCAAAGCCTATGGAAACTATTATAGCCAGTAAGAAAACTTTTTATCTTTTGGGTTTACCAACTTTACTAAAGCGATATTTTTCAGAATTAAGTTTTTTTTTATTTCATTAACATTAGGAAAGCATGAAGAAAACGAAATGATGGAACAAGGATAATCGATACTGTAACTTGGAAAACAAAAGCTAATGATGGTTCATTGTTAGATTATAATAAATTCAAATGGTTAAACAAAAAATAAATATATATATTTTTTTATTTGTATATTGCCCGTTCGGCAACAATTATTATGAAATAAAGAAGTTTCCTCTGGGCTCCTAATCTTTTATTTTTACGCGATTTTTGATATCTATTGTTTATGCTGTTACAATTCTTCCTTATCGAATACCGTCTATGATAATGCATAATTTTTTTTGTTATTTATTCTGTAACACATTGACGTATTTACCATAAATACTGAAATACACTGTTTTGCAGTCCTATAAGTTAGGCCACATATTGATTCTTCGCATTAATTTGTATTAATTTTTTACATTAAATTTAACTTACTGACTGTACAGTCAGACCTCCCTAAATGCACGTCGCCGGGACCATCTCTAGAGAGTGCATTTAGGGAGGGCTGCAATTAGAGAACACTAATAAAATCGCAATGTTACTGTTAGCATGTGATAATGTGGCTTTAGTAGCCTTGAAATAATGAATTTGATTGGCTGGTAATCACGCGAATGCATTTATGGAGGAAGTTTTTATAAGTGGGCCAGGCAGTTAGCGTGCACTTACAGAATAAAGAACGTGCATTTATCTATAAGTCCCATAATGGGCCCGAGCTTATATTATGCATTTAGAGAGGTGCTGCATTTAGGGAGGATGCATTTAGAGAGGTCTGACTGACTGTATTTCATTAAATTAATACGTCTTATTTAACAAGAATTTTCAAAAAATTACTGTATTTCATTAAATTAATACGTCTTATGTAACAAGAATTTACTGTATTTCATTAAATTAATACATCTCATATAACAAGAATTTTTCAAAAATTTATTATAAATTAAAGCATATTTTCATGAATAAAGTATGATACTCGAATAAAAAGTTAACGATGAATAGTCAAATCTTCAATTCACTCTTTATCATTTTTCTTATTTATTTGTCAGCATTAACCATCGATGCTAGACATGCTAGACATGATAAACATGCTAAACATGATAAACATGCTAAACATGCTAGACATAAATATCATCCGCAATCTCTTAGAACATGTACCATCACTGATGTTAGTTCTGAAACAGTAACAATCACTATATTCTCTCCAACCGAAACACCTTCTTTGAGCGCTTGCCCTGATAACGAACAGGTGCCTGATGATTGCGATAAATGCGAACAAACAACAACAGTAACTTGTACACCTACTACAACCGTTTACGTACCTACAGATGACTAACCCAGGAGCATGTTGTGATCTAATTTGCATTAACGCAGCACCATTTCCTACTTGCGGTTAATGTAATACCATTTTCTACTTGCTGTTATTAATATAATTTGGTCTAATTGCATGAAAAAAATTTCTCAGTAAAAAAATATCGATCATATGCACATGACATTGATATCAAAATATTATCCATATGCATGTAGAGCCATTACTGAGAAAGAAGAAACAATTAATTGAAAAATTTTTTATTAGTATTTTTTATTGTATAATAGAAATATCTATTTTTATTTGTATGTTATTATCGTCCTGGCAACTATTTTTATTAAATAAAGAAGAGAGGTCGCATCAGGTCTTAATCTTGTAGGCATTTTAATGAATTAATATAAAATAATAACAAATAAAAAATTTTATTATACGTATTAAACCGTTAACTGATTTATTTATTATTCGAGAATTATCACATTCACATCGTCTATATATTCCATTCGCTACTTTTTTGCATGTTTTGCAATATAGGTGTGAATGATGATTGCATTCATCACAAACCTTATATCCGTGCTTCCAACCTCTAAAGACATGCCACTTTTCGATATAATTTTTTCTTTATTTGTATGTATGTTATCCGGATTTTCATTATTATACGTACTAATACGTACTATAATACGTATATACTACTAAGGATTGGAACCGTTATTCGTTTAACCGTGATTAACCGTTTATTTATCTTATACGGTTAAACGATTAAAGAATTT